TGCTGATGATGACGAAAATGAATCTGATGATGCTGCTGATGACGATGCTGCTGATGAGGCTGATGCGGATGATGATGATGATGATGATGCTGATGATGATGATGATGATGATGATGATGATGCTGATGATGATGATGATGATGCTGCAAAGTCTGTTGATGACGATGATGACGACGATGATGATGCTGATGATGCTGATGAATCTGATGATGATGACGATGCGGATGATGAAAAACGATGGTGATGCAGCATTTGCCGATGACGAGGACGACGACGGTGATGATGCTGATGCAGATGAGTTCGATGATGCTGATGATGATGCTGCCGATGATGATGCTGCTGATGATGCTGATGATGCTGATGCTGATGCTGATTCGGATGATGATGCTGACGATGAGGATGATGCTGATGATGATGATGCTGATGCTGATGATGATGATGATGATCATGCCGATGATGATTATGATGGTGATGATGCTGATGATGATGACGATGCTGATGATGATGATGATGATGATGGTGATGATGATGCTGCTGATGACGATGATGCTGATGCTGATGATCATGCTGAATCTGATGATGCTGCTGATAAGAATGACGATGCTGCTGCTGGTGATGCTGATGCTGCTGATCATGCTGCTGATGCTGACGATGATGATGGTGATGGTGATGGTGCTGATGGTGACGACGAGGATGCGGATGATGATCATGACCATGATGCTGATGCTGATGACGATGATGATGATGATGATGATGATGATGATGATGATGATGATGATGATGATGATGCTGATGCTGATGATGATGATGATGATGATGCGGATGCTGCTGATGATGATACTGATGCTTCTGCTGATGCTGATGATGATGCTGCTGGTGATGATGCTGCTGGTGATGATGCTGATTATGCTGATAATGCTGCTGCTGATGATGATGACCATGATTTAGGTGTTGCCGATGGTGACTATGATGATGATGCTGATGACCATGATGATGATTCCGATGCTGATGATGATGATGATGATGATGATGATGATGATGATGATGATGATGATGATGATGATGCTGCTGATGATGATGATGGTGATGATGATGGCGATGGTGATGGTGATAATGATGCTGCTCATGATGAGCATGATGATGATGATGAGGAGGAGGACGACGATGATAAAGATGATGATGCTGATGATGATACTGCTGCTGATGATGATGAATATGCTGATGCTGATTATGCTGATGATGCTGATGCTGCTGTTGCTGATGATGCTGCTGCTGATGATGATGCTGATGATGATGCTGATGCTGCTGATGATGATGATGATGACGACGGGATGAAGAGGATGATGATGATGATGATGATGATGATGATGATGATGATGATGATGATGATGATGATGATGATGCTGATGATGATGATGATGATGATGATGATGACGACGGGATGAAGAGGAGGATGAGGATGGTGGTGTTGTTGTAGTTGTTGTTGTTGTTGTTGTTGTTGTTGTTGTTGTTGTTGTTTTTGTTGTTGTTGTTGTTGTTGTTGTTGTGGTTGTTGTTGGTGGTGGTGGTGGTGGTGGTGGTGGTGATGAAGACGTTCGTGGTGGTGGTGGTGGTGGTGGTGGTGAGGAGGAGGAGGCGGAGGAGGATGAGGAGGAGGAGGAGGAGGTGGAGGAGGAAAAGCATCAGGAGGAGGAGGTTGAGGAGGAGGCGGAGGCGGAGGTGGAGGCGGAGGCGGAGGCGGGGCGGAGGCGGATGCGGAGGCGGAGGAGGAGGATGAGGAGGAGGAGGAGGAGGGAGAAGGGATAAGGATGAGGAGGAGGAGGAGGAGGAGGAGAGGAAGAAGAGGAGGAGGAGGAGGAGGAGGAGGAGGAGAGGAGGAGGAGGAGGAGGCGGAGGATTAGTAGGAGGAGGAGGAGGGAGGAGGAGGAGGAGGAGGAGGAGGAGGAGTCGTTTGGGCCGTTTTGGGGCTGTCTTGGCCTCCTGTGAGGCAGTCTTGGGGCCCTCTCTCGCTGTCTTGGAGACCTCTTACGCCTCTTGAGGCTCTCTTGGGCCATCTTGGGGCCCTCTTGGCCGTGTGGTGGGTGAGGTGTCCGGGGACCGTCGTGGGGCGGTCTTGGCGCCGTCTTGGACCGTCGAAGGGCCTATTGAGGCCGTCTTGGTTCCCACGGGAGGCCGTCCCGAGGCCGTCTTGGGCCGTCTTGGCTGCCTCTTTGGCCATCGTGGAGTCAAATTTTTGCCGTCTTGGGCTGACAACAGCCCGAAAAGGCGATAATGCGAAGCTCCCTCAAAAACCCAAGGGAAATCAATGATGGTGGCTTTTCTTGACCCTGTTGGAGGTCTTCGTGCGGCCATTGTAGGACCATTTGGAGGCATCTTGGGCCGCCTTGAATCAATATTCGGCCGCCTTGGGGTCATCTTGGGCAGTATTCGAGGCATCTTGGGCCATTTTGGTGTCTTTGGTTGCCTGCACGGGCCGTCTTGTAAGCTCGGGGCGCGTACCCACTGTTTTTTTACAAGGGGTCCGTGATATGGGAGGCCCTGGAGCACTTGGGAGCAGCGCCTGGGAATGCGGGGACAATTTTGCCTCGAGCGGGTGCGCAGGGAATGATGGGGTCAGGCGTTAGCTGCCATGCGGGAAGTGCACCATCCTCGAGCGGGCACGCGTGGAAGGGGGGTTCAGGCAATAGCTGCCGTGTGGGAAGTGCACCATTCTCGAGCGGGCACGCCTGGGATGGGGGATTAAGTAGGTGTCAGCAGCCATGCTGGAAGCGCACCATCCTCGAGCGGGCACGAGGGAAGTTGCATCGAAAAGGAGGGGCGGTGCACGCATAAGTCTGCTGGTAGAGGGAGGAGCGGCCCGGGATTAGACTTTCAGAAACCCTACCAGGCAGACCTTGACATTCTTCCACGACTTAACATGCTCACACTCTGCCACACTCTGCTCACACTCTGCCACCACGCTGGCTGAAAGGAGCCGAACCGGGAACTATTCATCGTGCCTGTTAAACCAATCTTGCAGGCCAGTGCTCTTCCTCTCAACAATGACGTTCCGTTTCTCGACGTGTGCAGGTGCGTGGGGGACGGGGTGCGATCCCGCGCTTTCGCCTCGGCACCGCGCTAATTTTTGGAGATTTGAGCTTCCCCTTGGGCGCGGCGCGCGTTCTGCGCTCGCCACTTCGTGGGCGCGAGCGCAGACGAGATTGTCGCTCCCGCGTCGGCGCCGCGCAGACTTTGCCTGAGAGGGGCGCTCCCGCCAGCCGTGGCGCGGCGAATCAACGTGACTGTTGCGCCCTGATGTTCCGACATCGTGCCAACACACCATTTCTGGGACGTTAGCCATGATAATCTTCGAAACGGCTTCAAAATCTGAAGACGAACGTGCGCCTTGCTAAGGCGAGAGCTACATTTTGAGAAAAGGAACCGCCCTCCATCCGTGAACTCTTGCAGTTTTTAGAACGCATGTGCTGGGCGCCTGGGCGAGAGCCACATTTTGAAAAGGAACCGCTTCATCAGTGTAACTCTTACATTTATTTACGACGATTGCGCGCGGCGCTGAGGTGAGAGCCACATTTAGACGAATGTGAGCGGCGCTGCGGCGAGAGCCACATTCTGAAAGCGGACTGCTCTCCATACGTGAAGCTCTTGCCATCTATTTAAAAAGCGGACCGCCCTCCATCCGTGATTTTTTTTGCACATTCCAGACGATACGCGTATCCCCACCAGCAGCCCTGTGCGTTGTGCCCAGTCGGGCCCGTGTTGGGTCAACCTGACACCCTCTCTCGCACAGGTACGTGGTGACCCGCGCCATTTTGGCCGCGTCGCGGCTATGCCGCTTCCCCGCACTCGTGCGTACTGCTGCCTAGGGGTCTCTCGGCTTCCGCCACCCTGGGAGCCCAGCCTGCCAACGCTCTCGCCTCCTGGCGACATCTCCTCGGCCCGACGGTCCTTTGGACCACTCTGGTTCTCGCGCTTCGCCGACGTCCGGGGCATCGCCTGTGCATTTCTCTTTCCTACCTCGACCGACGGTTCGTTGGCCACGGCCACCCTGGTGCCCACGCAGTCGTCTGAGGCACGGTATCGCGTTTTCTCTCTCGGAGTTGTCCCTGGCCGTCGTTAACTTTCCGACGTATGGCGCGCTCGACGGACTTGCAGCTTTGCGCGTTGGCAGTTCCCCTCAGTCTCAGTCCCCTCAGCCATTCACCTGAGGCCTCGGCCGGCGCTTAGCCTTCGCCTCGCGCGTTGCTCTGCTCTATTTTTCCCGCGTTTCCTCTGCCTAATTCGTCTCTGCGTAGCCCGCTTTGACCTGACTCGCCGCCGGCGCGCTCACCCGCGGCCGCTGACTAAAAAAATATCCCTACCAGCCCATCCAGAAACGATGTCCAGGCGAGTTGAGGTGATCAGGGAAGTGCGGGAGCAAAGAGGGGGACGGCCGAGCCGTGCGAAGGACGGAGGAGGAAAAATATGAGGCTGGATGGATGGATGAGGGGGTTGGGAGAAGGAAAATGAATCAAATGAGAAGGAGGAGGAGGAGGAGGAGCAGGAGGAGGAGGAGGAGGAGGAGGAGGAGGAGGAGGAGGAGGAAAAAAAGGAGGAAAAGAAGGAGTAAGAGGAGGAAGGGGCAGGAGGAGGAGGGCAAGCAAAAGGGCCAGAGGTCTTGTGGATGCCTCTCGGAGCCTCTTGGGATGTCTCTTGGGCGCTTCTCGGAGGCCTCTCGGGACGTCTTGGGGGTCTCTCGGCGGTTCTGGGGGGCTCTTGTGCGTCTTGGGTGCCTTGGGGGGGCCTCTTGGGGCCGCTTGGTGTCCTCTTGGGGGCCTCTTGGGGGCCTCTTGAGGCCATCATGGGGAGGAGGGGGAGGAGGAGGAGGAGGAGGGGGAGGGGGAGGGGGAGGAGGAGGAGGAGGAGGAGGAGGAGGAGGAGGAGGAGGAGGAGGAGGAGGAGGAGGAGGAGGAGGAGCACGGCAGAGAGGAGAGCCCCTCTCCCGCGCCCGGGCCCGGCCTCAGGAGCACCTCTCTCGCGGGCGTCGCCGTCGGCCTCGGGAGATCCCCCCCCCGCGTGCACGCCCGCCGCCATGGGGTCGGCGGCCGCCAGCTGTGCACCTGCACCAATCCAGGGTGTGCGCCGATCCCGAGCCCCGCTCGGCCAGGGGTCGGTGCAGGTGCACAGCTGGCATCCCACCGAGTGCGGTAGGTGGCGTTGGAGGTGGCGATGGTGATGAGGATGATGGGGACGATGGTGATGGTGGCGGTGGTGGCGGTAACGGTGATGGCGATGAGGACGATGGTGCTGCTGCTGCTGCTGCTGCTTCTGCTGCTGCTGCTGCTGCTGCTGATGATGATGATGATGATGATGATGATGATGACGCTAGTGGTGATGATGACGATGACGATGACGACGACGACGATGACGATGACGCCGACGCCGCCGCTGACGACGATGATGATAATGCTGATGATGACGATGATGATGATGATGATGATGATGATGATGATGATGATGATGATGATGATGATGTTGATGTTGATGGTGATGATGATGATGATGACGATGATGATGCTCATGCCGCTGATGATGCTGATTCTGTTGATGTTGATGATGCTGATGATGCTGCTGATGATCATGATGGTGATGCTGATGATGCTGATGATGATGATGATGATGATGATGATGATGATGATAATGATGTTGAGGATGACGGTGGCGACCATGTGGTCTCATGCGGATTTTGGTGATGACGATTGCCATGACGAGTGCGATGATGACGCTGAGGACGTTTATGATGCTGATAACGGTGGTGGTGGTGATGATGATGATGATGATGAGGATGGTGGTGGTGGTGATGAGGATGATGATGCTGATTGCAATGATGCTAACGATTGCGATGGTGACGGTAGCGGTGGTGATGACGACGAGAATGATGATGTTGCTGTTGCGGTTGCTATTGCGGCTGCTGTTGTTGCTGGTGATGATGATGTCGATGATGATGCTGCGGATTGCGATGCTGTTGCTGCTGATGGTGGTGAACATGCTGCTGCCGATGATGATGCGGATGATGGTGCTGATGATACTGGTGATGATGATGAAGCGACGGTGATGACCATGATGATGTAGAAGGTGATGACGATGATGGTGGTGATGATGATCTCTGGTCGCATGGCTGTCGAACGACCATCAACGTCTACGTGGGCACAGGCGGGGACCCGACCACGCTGGCGTGCAGCACCAGCTTGGACCTCGCAGTGCGTCGCGGCGAGTGTTGCTGCGCCCCGCCGCTTGCCGCAGCCCTTGCGAGTGAGACAGGAGTGGCCTGTGCAAGGCACCACTGGCCCTAGGAGGAACGAGCACAACGTCAAAGACGATTATCCTGATAATGATGACCCAAATAGCGTCATCACCCAGTACAGGAGGGACACGCGCGTGAACACCACGAAACTCGCACCCACGAGCTTTGACTCCATGCGAATGCCGCCCACGAGCGTGAACACCACGGAGTTGCCGCCTAAGAGCGTGGACGCCACGAGACAGCGGCCCACGAGCGCGGGCACGCGCGCGACCTCTACGAAGCTGGAGCCCACGAGCGTGAAGGCCGCGACGCTGCCGCAAACGAGCGTGAACACCACGATGCTGGCGCCCACGAGCGTGAACACCACGAAGCTGTCGCCCACGAGAGTGAACTCCACGAAGAAGCATCAGTCCACAAGCGTGAACACCCTGAAGCTGCCGCCCACTGGCGGGCACATCCCGGGGCTGCCGCCCGCGAGCGAGAACGCATCGAAGCTGCCGCTCACGGGCGTGATGGGCACGAAAATTCTTTACGCTTCGCGTATCCCCACCAGCCCATCTCACAGCAGCAACTCTTGCGAAGCATGCCGACAGTCGTGTTTTTCAGGCGTGTGTCCGCTTGGCCCCGCATATCTCCCCTGTTCCTCCTTCCTCCCGCCTCCTTGTACATCCTCCTTGTGAGGGGAGCGGGAGATGGACGAGGCGGTGGGAGGCAAGAGGGACTCAGCGGAGACGACGACCACAGCGAAGATCTGATCAACGACGACGCACCCGACGACGACGACGTTGTCGACCGCAACGACGACGACGACCACAACCGCGACGACGACGACGTCGACGTCGACGACGACGACGACGAAGGCGGCGGCGACGACGACGACGACGACGACGACGTCGACGACGACGACGACGAGGACTGGTGGGAGTCGTTGGGGGCCCTCGTGGTGTGAGTCCTTCGGCCCCGTCGTCCTTGTGTGAGTCCTTCGGGACCCTATGCCTGGTGTGAGTCGTCTGGGCTCCTCGTTGTGTGAGTCGTTCGGGCGCTTTCGTCCAGGTGTGAGTCGTTGGGGCTTCTCGTGGTTCGAGTCGTTCGGGGCTCTCGTCCTGGTGTGAGTCTTTCGGGCCCTTCTTCCTGGTGTGAGTAGTTCGTGCTTTTCGTGGTGTGAGTCGTTCGGGCTCTTCGTCTTGGTGTGAGTCGTTCGGGCCCCTCCTCCTGGTGTGAGTTGTTCGGGCTCCTCGTGGTGTGAGTCGTTCGGGCGTCTCGTCCTGGTGTGAGTCGTTCCGGCCCCTCGTCCTGGTGTGAGTCGTTCGGGCTCCTCGTGGTGTGAGTCGTTCGGGCCCCTCGTCCTGGGGTGAGTCGTTTGGGCTTCTCCTGGTGTGAGGCGTCCGGGCACCTCGTCCGCGTGCGAGTCGTTCGGGCTCTCCGTAGTAGGAGTCCTAGTAGTAGTAGTAGTAGTAGTAGTAGTAGTAGTAGTAGTAGTAGTAGTAGTAGTAGTAGTGCTGGTAGTAGTAGTGGCCGTAGCACCATGAGTAGAAGTAGTAATAGTAGAGGTAGAAGTAGTAGTAGTAGTAGTAGTAGTAGTAGTAGTAGTAGTAGTAGTAGTAGTAGTAGTAGTAGTAGTAGTAGTCGTAGTCGTAGTTGTAGCAGTACTAGAAGCAGTAGTAGTGATGGTAGTCGTAGTAGTTGTAGTGGTAGTTGTCGTGGTAGTAGCAGGAATCTGAGTAGTAGTAATAGTAGAAGTAGTAGTCCTAGTACTAAGAGCAGCAGTAGTAGTAGTCCCAGTAGTACTAGTAGCAGTGGTAGCAGTAGTAGTAGTCCCAGTAGTTTGTAGTAGTAGTAGTAGGGGTAGTAGTAGTAGTAGTAGTAGTAGTAGTAGTAGTAGTAGTAGTAGTAGTAGTAGAACTAGAACTAGTAGTAGTCGTAATAGTCGTTGTAGTTGTAGTTGTAGGAGATGATGTAGTGATACTAGTATTCGTAGTAGTAGTAGTAGTAGTAGTAGTAGTAGTAGTAGTCGTAGGAGTAGTCGTAGGAGTAGAAGTAGTAGTATATGTCTTTTGAGAGCCTCTTGGAGGCCTCTTGGGGCGTCTTCGGCGCCTCTTGGGGCCTCTTGGGGACCTCTTGGGGATATCTTGGGGGCCTCTTGGAGGCCTCTTGGGGGCCTCCTGGGGGCCTCTTGGGGCCATCTTGGGGCCTCTTAGTGCCTCCTGGGCGCTTCTTGGGGCCATCTTGGAGGGAATCGACCAAAGAAGAGGGGAGCTTTAATGAGCGCTGCCCCCTGAGAAGGGCAACATGAGCCCAAAACCTTTGTAAATTCAATGATTTTGCCTCGAAGGAAGAGGGGAGCTTTAATGAGCGCTGCCCCCTCAGAAGGCCAAAATGGGGCCACAACCGTAATAAAATCACTGATTTTGGCTTCAAAGAAGAGGAGAGGGTTTTTTCTGCCTCCCCCCGTCGGGGCCAGAATCCTCGTGAGGGGTGTCGTTTTTTAGCCCTCCCAGGAGTCGAACATGACCCCCCCTGACGACCCGCGAAAGGACCTCTCCAGGCCCAGGGGGAGGGGGTAGGGGGAGGGGTAAACCCTCCCCGAATGGGGAAGAAGGGGGGTTGAGAACAGAGAGGACTCCCTAAACCACTCACGCCCAAAGGGCTGGTGGGATTGTGAAGCCCACGAGCGTGAACGCCGCGAAGCTGTCGTTCACAAGTGCTTGTTCCGCAGAGCTGCCGCTCACGAGCGTGATCATCATGGCGCTGCCGCCCGCGAGCGGGCGCGCCCCAAAGCTGCTGCCAACGAGCTTGAAAACACCGATTCTGCCGTCCATCGGGCGTGGGTGCTACGAAATGGCTGCCCACGGGTATGAACGCCATTCGGTTGCTTCCCACGAGCGTGGCCATCATGAACCTGTCGCCACGAGCGCGGGACACCACGAGGCTGCCGCCCACGAGCGTAATCGTCACGATGCTGCTGCCCACGAGCTTGAACACCACGAAGCTGCCGTCCACGGGCGTGATCGCCATGAAGCTGCCGCGTGCGAGTTTGGACGCCACGCGGCTGCTGCCCACGATCGTAAGCACCGCGAAGCTGCCGCCCACAGGCGTGATGACCACGAAGCTTCCGCCATCTGGTTTGAACACCACGAGGCAAGGGCGCCCTCGAGGGCGCGAAGTTATTCGCGCTTCGCGCTTCGCGGTTCGGCTCCGATTCCTCCTCATCCTCCTCTTCTCCCCTGGGAGGCGGCGCGAGAGCGCGAAGTTATTCGCACTTCGCGCTTCGCGCAGCGCGAAGCGCGAAGTTGGGAGCCCTTGACGAGGCTGATGCTCACGAGCGTGAGCGCCGCAGGAGTTGCGCAGGCGTGGACAGAAAGGACCTCAACGAGACCGTCTACGAACAGGAACGCCACGAGGCGAAGCTGCCGCCCACAAGCCTAAAAACCGTGATGATGCAAGGGCTCCCTCGAGGGCGCGAAGTTATTCGCGCTTCGCGCTTCGCGGTCCTCGTTCCTTCTCCCCCTCCTCCTCGTCCTCCTCTTCTCCCCCTTGGGGGGCGGCGCGAGAGCGCGAAGTTATTCGCACTTCGCGCTTCGCGCAGCGCGAAGCGCGAAGTTGGGAGCCCTTGATGATGCTGCCCACGAGCGAGAAGACGATTGGCCTGTCTCCCACGCGCGCGATTACCGCAATGTGAGCACCAATGAACGGTAATACCGTAAAGTCGTCAAGAGCCAACTGCGTACGAATATATGCATATTTCTATGATGCCCA